TTCTATCGGCAGAATCTCCCCAACCTTATGAACTTGATTTCCACCATCTTTGTCTTTGCTGTTGTAATTTATTTCCAGGTATGTAACATTTTAACAGTAACAGAGTTGGAAGGGGTCTTGGAGGTCATCTAGTCCAACCCCCTGCTCAAACAGGAGACACAGAATCATAGAATGACAGAGTTGGAAGGGATCTTGGAGGTCATCTAGTCCAACCCCCTGCTCATGCAGAACTATACTAGGGAGAGATATAGAATGACAATTTAAAGTTTAATATATTTTCATATTCTATTCAGGCCTGGAAAGATGTTTATTTATTAAAGCCATATAATTTCTGATGAAATGCTTAATACATCACCAAAATATGAAGTTAGAATATTTCCACAAGGTTTATTGGAGAAATGTAAGATGTACCATAGATTAGAAGTGATACTGTGTTAATGTGAGTTATCCTTTTATCTTGGTGTAAAGCTAATTGAAACACTGTATATTTCTTGCTAGCAGAAGTAAGATCATAATTAGAGTTGTGGTTTCACTTGGTGACCACTTAACAACCAAGTTGCTGGTCCCAATTGTAGTCACTAAAGAAGGATTACCTATATAAGCTAATAAAGAGAGGGGGGAAAATGTTGTTTGAGATTGCTTTTTAAAAATAACCTTGATTTGATTGACCCTTGGGGCAAGTACTTTTGTGAATTACATTTTCTTTGTGTTTATATTTTAATTTCTTTCCCTTCGTGATCCACAGGGATTTAGAGTGGACCTCCCTATAAAATCTGCTCGCTACCGTGGACAATACAATACCTATCCAATCAAGTTATTCTATACTTCCAATATTCCCATTATTCTTCAGTCTGCATTGGTTTCCAACTTGTATGTAATTTCTCAGATGCTCTCTGCTCGTTTTAGTGGCAACATATTGGTTAGCCTTCTGGGCACTTGGTCTGTAAGTATTTTGTAAGTTCTTCTCCATAACTGTACTTAAAAATTCTTCTAGCAAAGGCACCCCAGAAAAGATAGGTTTCCAGTACTATACTTTTAAAAACTTGATGAATTCTCTAGCCCTTTCTTCCAAGTAGAAACCCACAGAATTGCATTGTATCTGATTTTTATTTATTATTTGTCTTAAAAGTGAGATGGCCTTTCATATTGAGCCTTACTTAATTTTTTGTCTTATTATCAGTTCCTTTGTGTTATATTAGCTTTAGTATATTTTATTATGTTATGCTAACAATGCATGCGACATCTTTGCAATGCAACAAAAGACCCATCACCATTATACATAAATATTGCTAACTTGACTAAATTGGTTGCTAGCAATTGTGTAATTACTCACTCAAGTAAGTTTAATCCAATTTTGCTGAAAGCAATCTCTTTTCACTGTAGGATACCTCAACTGGCGGTCCTGCCCGTTCATATCCTGTTGGTGGTCTTTGTTATTACCTGTCGCCTCCTGAGTCTTTTACATCAGTTTTAGACGATCCTGTTCATGCAGTTGTTTATATTGTGTTTATGTTGGGTTCCTGTGCTTTCTTTTCCAAAACCTGGATTGAAGTCTCTGGCTCATCTGCAAAAGATGTAAGTAAACAGCATAAATCTCACATCTTTAGATGCATCAAAATGCTGCGGTAAACACTTGAAAAAAAAATTCATGGAAAGGTCAAATTCAAACAGAACTATAGGATACGCCTCATAGCAAGTCAGGCTGTTGTATTAAATTTGGTATTGTTTAGTGCCTGACCTTGACACTCCAAGCACTTTCCCCTATGCATCTGGAGATGCTGTGGATTTAATCTGGATCTGTTGCTGGATATATGCTAGAAAATAGGCTTACCCTTGGTTTGTTTACCCTTGGTTACTTAACATCCAGGCCTACCCTCCACCCCCATCCCGCCAAATCTTGGGTGAAATAAATCCCTGGCTATGCTCATTCGCTAGCCATTCATTCTTCTCAGGGTACCAACATCTCTCATGTATGAATTTATAAAGGTTTATAACTCCTTTCTATAAATTATTCCCTGGGATTGAGAAGATGGCATTATGTTTTAATAAATTAAATATTTTTTTCTGTTTAGTTCCCATATCCTTGTACTATTTTTGATTTTAAGAACTATTGAGGTTCTTACATATTTATAGCAACCAAATGTAGTGATTCTCTTCACAAAATGCTATTTTTTTTAACTTATTTTGGAGTACAGGTTGCTAAACAACTGAAAGAGCAACAGATGGTTATGAGGGGTCACAGAGAAACCTCCATGGTTCATGAACTCAACAGGTGAGTTATAAATCTGTAGCGTTATTGCTATTTGAGCTTTCATTTGTTTCGGAGAAGCAGAAATCTACTTGCAGATTTAATGGCCTTTCTGTGCTCTCTCCTTGTTACTGAAATTCTAGTCTTAGAAAATGTTCTCCATAATATTTCTGAGAATGCCTGCTTTATATTTGTTAAGGCAAAGGCAATAAATTTCATGGTTTGTTTATTTTAAAACGGCAACTTTTTCACTACTGATGTTGATGTTAAAAGAAATAAATAATTGCTTTCATGTATCTAACACAGAAATAAAAGGTACATGCAGCCTGGTTGTATTTTAATTGAATAAAATTGAATGCTTATACAGGTAATCCCCGAATTATGACAGTTCACTTAGCAACCATTTGAATCTCCCCCCCCCCCAATGTCGGGTCTTCACAGGCAGGCCTGTGAAGACTCACATTTCAAAGATCTAGTGAGCTGTCTCCTCTCCAGGACAAGTGCGCCCTGCTCAGCTTCTCTGACTCACCGAGGCTGGCTGCCACTTCTGGAATGGTGGGCAGCTTCAGTGAGCCTCCTCCAAAGGAGACTCCTCCAGGCTCGGTGTGCCAAAGTAAGGCTTTGGGGCAGCAAACCTGCGTCACTTCACACCTCTCATTAGCGTGCAAACACCCCCCCCCCCCCCCCCCAGAAACTGGAATGACCTAATCTCACGGAACATCAGGTACCCATTCTCTGCAAAAACGGATGGGTGCCTGGAGTCGCATGAGACCATGACCCCAGAAGTTTCCAGTCTTCAGGTGAAAAGTGTTTGAGTGATCCTGGGGCAGTTGGAAACGAAATGATTTGCTCTGTTTCCAACAGCCCCAGGGTTGCTCAAACACTTTTCACCCGGACGGAGATTGCAAGCTTAGCCTGCATGCAAATGATCATCAGGATCTGAACTTCCCTTCTTCAGACCAGCACATGGGTTCCCTCTCACACGCAGGGGAGGGAAACTTCTACACAGGAATTTCCTTCTGCATATGGAGGAGAGCTGCCTGCTCTCTTGGCAAGCAGCTCTTTCACTTTATTCATTTAATAACCTACCCCAGGGGTCCCCAACTCACAGGGCGCATAAGCATGCAAAGTGTGAAATTAGGTTGCATGCATGAAACCATCCCCTCCTCCCCCTGCCATGCTCCAAGGAGCCAAAACCACTAATCTACAGTTTCTTAGAAGCTGCACCTGAGAGGGCTGAGATAGCAGTTGTTGAACAAGGCAATCACATGGGCACCTTGCTTAATGACTGCAACAATGTAAGAGTGTAAAGGGCAGGGTCAATTACTGTCATAAGTTGAGGACTGCCTCAGTATTTTCTGCAGTAGCTATGCCAGTAGACAATTTCCCTTAAATCTTTTGGCCTAACTTGTACTTTGTTGCTCTTCCTTTTTTAGATACATTCCAACAGCCGCTGCCTTTGGTGGCCTCTGCATTGGTGCCCTCTCTGTGCTGGCAGACTTCCTTGGGGCCATAGGTTCAGGCACGGGAATCTTGTTGGCTGTCACCATCATTTATCAATACTTTGAAATATTTGTAAAAGAGCAGAGTGAAGTTGGCAGCATGGGAGCACTTCTCTTCTAAATGCAATATTGTCTCATGGACCTAGGGACTGGCAAAGAGTGTTTTTAAGTTTTTGAAAATCAGGTGAAAGAGATTAACAGTTACACAAAAACACATGGGCATAACGCATTAATAGAAACACTTCTTTTAAATGTGTGAATTTTTTTTCTGAAGCACATTCCTTCGGTTCAGACTTTATTGGTATTTAGTTGCTGTTTTATAAATAGCTGGAAAATGCGTAAAAAAACATTTTTAGAAAAAAAAGGTCTTCTGTTCTTTGTTATTGTTTGAAACAATTCTCTAAATTGGTTTAATCTGAGGGCCTTTTCTCCCTACTTCAGACTGCACAATTTTGTCCCGAAGTTGCTCGAAGGTTTTCTGGGTTCATTATTTAAATGAAGAGTGGATGGTTATTTGTTGCAGGGTGATATTTGTCTCTTTCCCTGGAGTGGGGTGAGGAAATTGAGACTCTTCCCTCCCCTTCTCAAAATCGCCACCCAAATTTATGTGGGGGGGCGGGGTTCTTTTGATAAGCACATACATTATTTCTTCTTCTAGGATACCACACTTAGAACATCCAGATGTCTAGTCAAGCAGAGTCTGTTTTCAGTGCTGACTACTGCCTTTCGACTGTTGCTTTACTTCTGCCTGGGATGATAATAGGTACTATCTGTTGGTAGAAATCTCAGGTCATGTTACTCTACAGCAAGGCTATCAAACTTTGGGCCCACAGATCGGATGCGTCACATGCTGGCCACGCCCACACCCAGTTTAGCGGGGGGGGGGGGACTCCTGATATGTCACGTAATGAGACACCCCTGCTCCACAATATTTAAGATCATGTCTTGCAATGCTGTACTGAACAAAGGCAGCAAATAGTGCCATAGAGGAAACCTGAAATTTGTTAATTTGTCTTGTATTTATTATTTTTATCTCTTGACAAGTGTCGAATGCAGTATTTCTCTTGGAAGTTACTGTACTCCTAATAAGTTTTTATTTGCCATGAGATCAAAATAAATTCTAAGCTAGGAGGTATGATATTAACTATTAATCTGCTGCTTGATAAGTATGTGGAAGCCATTTACAGTAGAACCTGCATATTGATTCAAATGCTTATTGTCTCCCCACCAATTGCTCTGAAATAGTGACTACGAGCCATGCAAATTCTTGTCCACCTAAGAGGGACCCCTTTCTCTCCAGATAGTTTTATATGTTTTTCTAAGCTGAGGTGATGGTGCTTCTTTAGAGACCAAGTAGCCATTGCTTGCTTTCAGGGTAACACCTACCAAATAGGACAAGTAGCCATAACATTTTAAGGGTTATCCACTGCTTATAAAGTTCCATGAAGGCTTGACATCTGTTGAGATATATCATTGGTTGTAAGGTGTTTTGTGTATTGTACAGACCAAATTAAAACATGGTATAATGAGAAGCATGCAGATAGAATTAATGGTCGTGTTGGCTCTTGAAAAGAGAGCAATGAAGTCCTGGGACCATATTACGGGCCAGTTGTTTTTCTCAGTTTCAACATGTAGAAATTTATGCCTTGACAAAAACACCACACATATTGAAATTAGGTCAAAAACTAGTACTGAGATGAAAGTGCCAAACCTCTGGCAGTTCTGCCATTTTACCCAGAACAAAATCCCAGGAGCAAGAAATTGCTAATACTAATGGTATGCAAGAAGCTGAGTGTAATGCAGTAAAACTGGAAATAAAAGCTTAGGATCTTCTCAAGAACAGATACAGATGGGGGAATTGGTAGATACTGAAGACATCTGACTGATAAGATCTCCAGAGCCAGCTTTGCTGGAGTGGGTTCTTCAGTTAATAGGCTGCTGTGACATGGATATATTTTGGGCTATTTTTAATCCCAAAACAAGCGAAGAACATACCTTATGGTGCTGTAGTGCAATTCATTTGTATGGTCGTCTAGCAGGCAAAGCTCAAGGAAAGAGTTGTGTTCTGGATCAATTGCAAATCTGAATTTACAAGGTTATCTTAGTTAGTACTCCTTTTCAGAATACTTGTAAATCAATCCTTAACTTCATGAAATATAAAACTTTTAAAATGTAACTGATAGGTAAATATTACATTGTATATTGCATTTTTGTCCATCCCATCCTATACATTTTATCCTATGTACTAAAGGGATCAAATAAGTTTCCATCAATTTCAGAACTGGAGCAGCAAAGCATCAAATTGAAGTGATTTGAAATGTCAGATCAGAACCTTTGGATAGATTGTGTGTATTACTGAAACTATCCCCCCTTCTCAGTTGAAATTTACAAATTGTGGAGCACTTAATCTGATCTGCATAGCCATATTGCAGAGTTTGAACTGAATGTTGTGATTGAAACAAAATTATCTTCTTTGTGCATAAAGCATTATTCAAGGATTGCATCAAATATTGTAGTTTTTGCCTCACGTTTGAACTATGACTGCCAAACCAGTATTTTAATTGATGGTATTAACATACCATTAACTTTATGCACTACAGACAAGTCTCATATTTTTATTTGCACAGGCAATAAAAAGTTGAGATATCCACCACTGTCCCTCTTCTATTTCAGTTGCATAACATTTTAACTTCAGAATAAAATTATTTCCTTTTGCTATTTCTCGGTTCAGTTGTTCTTAATAGAGATAAACTAAGGTGACCTGAGATGAATCCTTTTGTAATTTAACCTTTTTTTGAAAGGCAAAAAAAAAAGATGAGCAAGGTTTTCTTTTAATTGAATGTTCCATTGATTAATCAAACATATGGCTGCCAATCTCACGAAAAGTGACACTCAGTGGCTTATAACGTAAAAAGCAATACATATTTAAACATTAAAATGTAAAATCTGTATTTAGACATATTGAAATACAGCAGTTAATTGGGATGCATTTGCTGATCCACTTGCCATGGTCACTGGTTACCTGAGAGGGTTTTTTATAAATACATACATGCGCTGACACTCTTCACTTGTCAGTTGGAAGAGACTCCAGCTAATGCCTGAAATATGAAACATCATCTTAAATGCTGTATCAGAGGCTGATAGCCTACACTTTGGTGGATTGAAAAGTTATAAAATGGCTAGCTACAAATTCATTTCCAGGCTTGGTTGCCATGATAAATAAAACATTCTGTTTAGCTCCAGAACAAAACTCTTAAAACTATAACAAAAATTAAAATGGTCGTTTCTGGGTTTATGATGCATTTTGAATTATAGGTAGTCCTCGATTTACAAATTTAGTGACCAAAATTACAATGGAATCATACAAAACGTACAACCCAAATTTGAAGTTAAAACAGCCAGACCACCACATTCCAGACACATGATTGCATTTTGGCAATTGGCTCACCTTTATAGCCATTTGCAGCATCACAAGGTCATATGACTGATTTTTTAATGTCTTTTGACAGTTTCTGATGCTTCTAGTTTCCAGTTTAAAAATGCCTGTTAGATGTAATGGATTTACCTAATAACAATAACTGCTGTTTGTTTAACAACTGCTGCAAAATTGGATCCAGTCACATGATACCTTGACTTAATAACGACAACAACTTAAGATCCAGTTCCAGGCACATTGTGGTCATAACTTGAGGATTACTTGCATACCAAATAGCATACATTTGACTTTCCTCTAAGCTGTTGATTGCCTACTTAATGAAAAATTGATTGTGTGTGTGTGTGTGTGTGTGTGTTTTAAACCTACATGTTCTAATTTTTCCTAGGACAGAATATACTCTAAATGTTCTTGATATATTTTATGGTACATTGTGACTGAAATGTGTGCTTTCTTCATGTTTTGTTTCCAGATAAAATCCCATGTTTATATTTCTTGCCCAATGAGTTTAAAGAGTCATTCATCTCATAAAGGCACCGAGAGAAGGATCACCAACAATATTCAATAAGCAGCATTTTAGAGGTCTCCTTTTAAAATCCCACTCAGTACCTCAGAAAAGGGAATACAGTAAACATCTGGCTTAAGAATGTATTCATGAAAGAAACTTTCAAATTGCAACACTTAAGTATCCACTAGAGGATGCTGTTTATTGCAGAACTAAGCTATTTGAAGTAACTTGTCAACCATATGCTGTTTCTTTGCATAGAAGTTACATATGGAAAAATACCAGACACCTTATGGTATATACTTGAACTTTTATCTGTAGTTTTAAAAACATATTTGGAATAGTTGCCACAAAAGTACTTTTTAGTTTTCTACAAGACCTTTCAAACAAGCAAAAGCATTACTGCATAGCCCTTCTGAATAAAGGTTTATAAAATATACAGAGTACTCCTGAGTGAGAGGCGCGTAAAATGTGTAAGCCACCTATTGCTGCTGAGGAGAGACTGAGAGTTGGCAGGAAAAAAATCCTGATCATTGATAGCATTATTGGATATAATGCAAATATGCAAACAAGTTGTTTGATAACTTGCAATATAAACAAATATGTTTAATCACTCAGATGTATTACATCTACTGGTGAGTTCTAGTTCAGTTGTTTTACAGTTCCTATGTAGAAATGGTTTTTCGCCTTATAACCATGTCACTTAGCGACAGAATTGCCAATCCCAATTGCAGTCAGTAAGTGAATTAGCTGAAAGCATGCCCACCGCAAGCTTTCGTTGAAGCTCAACTGTTACTGAGAAATGTCTTCTATTTCCTAGGAAGAGGAAACAATATGTTCAAACTGAACAAGATCAATCAAATTCTATTACCAGCTGAGCTATGCCATTGTTTATATAAACCCAAGCAAGTTGGCATATAATGAACAAAATATTTTCTGAGGCTAAGAAATTCTTGATCACATTCATCAATTAATTGTATGCATGAATTAGCCAATGACAACCATTAATAAGGGCAAAGAAGCTACCCTGAGTGCCAGTTTTAATCACTTGAAAAATCATGAATTGTTACAAGGAAAGTGAAGTGTAAGGACGTTTTGTTTCTTGATTGATTGATTGATTGTAATACAATTTATAGATTTAAAACTTTCTTATAAAATAGCAATAGAAATAGCACTTAGACTTATATACTGCTTCACAGAGCTTTACAGCCATTTCTAAGCAATTTACAGAGTCAGCATATTGCCCCCATCAGTGTGGGTCCTCATTTTACTGATCTCAGAAGGATGGAAAGCTGAGTCAACCTTGAGCCGGTCCCGATAGAAGGAATCGAACTCCTGGCAGTGAGCAAAGTTCACTGCGCCACCACAATTCATCAATGACAATTTCTAATCTAGAAGTTTTGCTGTGCTGTAATAATACACTTGT